TGATAAGGCACCAACTGAAACAGCTTCAGGAGTGGCAGTATCCAAAAGCTGACGAAGGGCAAGCTCCGTAGGCTGCACACCCGGGGTGGTGACAGCATAGGCCAATGACGACATCGTCGAGACACCTTTCCCTTTCAGGATCAGCAGCTGTGCACTTGAAAGGCCACATTCCGTGGCAAGTTCTTCAAATGCCGCCTCAGATTTCAGCAGGGACATGGCTGATACTACACGATCCTAGAGCCCAAGCTTCGTGAACGATGCGATGGCTCCGAAGAGGAAGTGGCGAAAAGCCACACAAATCAGCAGCAACTCTCGAGACTGCTCCCGAGTAATGGGTGACAAACCCATACTCCGAAGAGGAAGTGGCGGAAAGCCACGCACTTTAGAAGCAACTCCCGGAAGCAACTCCCGAGCTTCCGAAAGATGGGTGTCAAACCCATGCAGCGGGAAGCCGCTCATAAGAAGATCTCTTCAAGATTCAAGTGAAGTAATACTTCGCACAAGAAGAAGGGTGACAAACCCGACCATGAAGTCGCACCGGTCAGTGGAAGCGGCGGAAAGCCGCGCGCAACAGTCAGCATGCGGAGGCAGATGAGTGACAAACCCAGTCACGATTTCTTTTCTCAGCAGCCGACAAGGCGCGTCAGGTTTAGGCAGAGAGGTGCCCAACACATTGCCATTTTTCCTTCTGAAGGAAAGTTAGCACAGCACGTTAAAAGAATTTTCTTGACGCCGAAGGCCCAGCGCACTGAGATGTCAACGCTTGCCCAAGGCAGCATCAAGCGCACCGACAAGGGCGCCGGTGTTGCTAATCGGCTTTCTCTGAGCGCATTGCTTGCAATCCCAAGCGGTGATCTTGACCAAGGTCCTGAAGGGGCGATGGTCTTTGGTGAGAGGCCTGCCACAGACAAACTTATCATCGCTCGAGTTTTCAAGCATGCGATGCACAGTCTTTGTCCTGCAATGCTGGTAAAGCTTGCATCCCTCCACGACGTGATGCCTCAATCTGCATGCTAAGTCGCTTGCTGCCTGGACCTTTTCATCAGCACTTGTAGAGCTCGAAGAAGAGCTGGAACTCGAGCTCGATTCAGAGTCTGAACCACTGCCATCTCGGTCCCCCTCCGCATGGGGATCGTCAGAAGCCCCCGTTTCGGGCGGAGGGTCTGAGAGACCCCGGGGCTCAAGCTCACTGCCACGGCTCGCGTTGATGAAAGCATCGACGTCGGCATCCTCCAGCTCTTGGTTGCGGTACCACGCCAACTCCTCATCAGGGCCAACCTCGCTGCCCATGCTCACAGGCTCTTGGACCTCACCTAAGGCGCCGAGGCGGAGGTCAGGGCTGAGGGCCCCATCAGAGAAACCAGGAAGAGCATCAAGGGCCGGCTCCACTCCTGGATCATCGACTTGACGGACAAAGCGGCCAGAGCGTGTGCAATCAGGAAGGAAAGCTCCAGACCGAACGTCACATAGAAGAGACCACAGCACTCTCAAAGGCCCAGCCTGAAGATCTCTGCTGTAAGTGGCCACGCTTTTGCTCTTAGGCATGTGATGCCCAAGAATGGCCCTGTCATCCTCAGAGCCGCCCCATTTGGCCAACCAAGGAAGTAAGGTAGACTTTGCTGTGTGGCCGGTGAAGTGACCTCCGAAGAAGGGGAGATCCTTAAGGATGCCATTGATCCACACCACGAAGGCTTCATTCTTGATTGGATGGTTGAGCAAGGAGCCCACAGACGTGGGCACACACAACAGCGCGGAACCATCGTCCTTCTGAAGAAGGTCTTGATCCACTTGCCGTGCAACCTCCAAGAAGTCAAGCCCCCAGATGCGAGGCCCCAGTCCTTTAACGTGAGCCACAAGAGGCAACCTGAAGCCGAGCGCATTGCTAAGAGACTTAGTCTTATGGCTATAAGAGTAACACACCAAAAACCCTTCGGCGCAGTCTGCAGATGGCTCTGCAAGGTCAAGCGTGAACCTTGACACGGACTTCAAGTCGCCTAACCTCGCCCTGGCGAAAATCGCAAAGAGCATGCAACCAGCGGCGAACCGGTCCAAAAGAGCATTGGATTCGGACGCAAGAAAACCCTCGAGGTGAAGCACTTCTGCAACGAGAAACGAGCGAGCCTGCTTCCTGGGAGGCTTGTTCAATCTCTCGCGACGAGCACGTCCTGTCAGGACCGGGTCAGACCGGAGAGGCTCATTAATGAAAACACCAAGGACATAGATCGCAAAGTTGAAAGACTCAAGGTTGCTGGACACTGATCCATGCCCTTTGGTCTTCACTGCAAACTCGGTGTATTGCCGAACAAGATCCGAAGAAAGGGGGAAGCCTATGCATCCTGTGTCGTTGCACCAAGTGACGTACTTGGATAATTGCCCGTACCTTTTCTGGAGGGTAGACAGGGCTTTACCCCCAAGTGCATCCGAGACAAGTTGCGTTCCCTTCTCAAAAGACTCCTTGGCAAGTATCCCCCCTAGCCTAGAACCCGAATAAGAGTGCGAAAGCAACACATGGAACCTCTGGCAAAGCAGCTCACGTTTATCAAGAGGGCTGATCGGAGCCTTCACCACTCTGACCTTTTGAGAAACGGCTTTGAAGAAGCTGCAGGATCGAGGCTCCGGCTTTGCGAGCTTCTCCGCTTCACCCAGGCTCGAAGCTGAAGAAATGGGAATATCAAAAGGAAATTTCACTGACGGAATGCTTGGGGCAGCATGCTCCGGGCAGAATATCTCCTTAAGAATGCCTGACTCCCAGGGCAGCTCCAGATCACTGGAGCCAGCGACACTGTGTCTGGACTCAAGCAGCATACGATCTATGCTCTTAAGAAGGTTAGAGCGAGCCCCTGGGCCTGATGATGAAGCTGAAGTCGAGGAGCCCCCAGCAGAAAGAGACTGAGGCTGCATGTTGCAAAGTTTTCTGCAAAAGATGCCTTCCTAGGCCAGCCTACGGCAGCAAAGCCTGAGCAGGCGCAAGAAGTTTTCCAACAAGCTGACCCGTGCCTGAGTTTGTTGTGCCTGAGTTTCCAGGAGCTCCAAACGATCTTCAAGCACTCGCACCCTACTCTCCACAATGTTGCATTCAAGCTGAAGAGAGTGGAGATGTGAGCTTATTGCTTCCCAGGCGGAGCCAGAGGAACTGCTGGCACTGGAGGGCTCAGAGAGAGGCAAGTAAAGAGGCCTCGTTCCCATCTGGCGCCCCTTCGGGGGGCACCGTGCACGAAGCTAAAGCCTTGAAGTTAGCAGCTCGAACCTCGCTAGAAAGAAGCGACGGGACTCTAGAGGCCTCACTCGAAAAGCGAACTGAAGCCGAAAAGGCAACTGGAAAACAGAGCTTGGCAAAAGTTCAGCATGAAAAAGGATGGAAAACAACCAAGGTTGGAAAAACCAAGTTGTTGAAAAAAAAGACTTGAGAATCAAAATCCGTCCTCCTTCGGAGGAAGTTCTTCATACCCCGACTGCGTGGAGTTCACCGAGGAAACAGACTTACGTTGCAACACAGAGTTGGGCCACTCAGCATTCTGAAGCAATTGCAAAAGTGAAGAAAATTTTCTTGTATCCACACTAGCACTCTGCTGACACGGATCAAGATGCACTAAAGGAGAATCTGTCGGCGCAGGGGAGGCCTGCGGCGATGCAAAACTGTGCCCAGCCAAGCCTGGGCAGTCCCGACTCTGAGTCGAGTGCTGCGAGCTGCAGGGCTCGCGTTCCGACTGTCACTCCTGCTTTTGGCCTAGAGCCTCAGCACGCAGCGGACAGTCCAATGCAGGGTGCGACTTGCCGCACTTGGGCCATGCGCAAATGTGCAGGCCACGCACGCATCGACCACGAGTCACGGTTTCTCTGCATGTTTTGAGTCCATACCCAAAACATATGTTTTCACCAGCATTGGTGCATGATCTGCAGCCCGCCAGAGCGGCGGGAACCTTCCCGGATCCTTTGGTGCCCTTGGCACCCTTCCCTGTGCCCTTCCGGCCTTTGCCCGGACGATCATACGGGCCCGGCCCGTGCGGCCTCGGCGGCGGTGCCACCTGCTGCGTGACTGAAGCGCCTGCTGCCCGAGGCATCGGTTGAAGCAGATGAAGCACCTCTGGTGACTGCCATGTGTCCTCGAAGATGGTGTCCAATGGACGCCCCCCAGCTTTGAGCTGGATGCCTGAGCGAGTCGCTTCTCCGAGAAGCTGCCAAAGCTTCCTGTCAGCCTGCTGACACTGATCAAGCGTGGGCTGCATGTGCGTCGACGGAGGTGCGTCGAGGCGCGCCGCAAGAAGGCGCTCAACCCACATGTGGTGGCGATGGTAGTCAAGGATGTTCGCCATTTCCATAGCGATGCCGCGCCTTTGAAGCGCGAGCTGCAAGAGCAGCTCCGTGCTAGTATCAGCACGGACCTCAACCTTCGTCTCCGACCTGAGCTTGCCCGTACTGTCCAGCGAGAAGAAAGGCTCTCGCTTTGCCCCTGTTGAGGCCTCTTGCTCTTTGGAAACAAGCTTCTCCCACGGGACAAACTGCAGCTTGTCCTGTTCATACTGGGATACGAAGGAGTCGACGAGGCTATCAGCAGGCTCAAGACGGTTCTTGATCGAAAGGCCCACAAGGCGTTTGCTCACTACCTCGAATCTCTCAGATCTCTCCGGGACGCTCAATTTTCTTGGGATGGATTCATCCGTCCGCTCCACAAGCATCTTCATTTCCGAAGTGGTAACAGCATATGCTTCATGAAATAACCTTCGGAAGGCGCTTTTCTGCCCTACAGAGGGCGGCGTCCCGAGGGCCGACTCGAACGCCGCAATGAGGTCCTTGTCATCGCCAGAGCCCGGCGTGTAGCTCGTCATGAAAGCGCCCTTTGCGAGTGAATCCACACCCACCTTCTCGAGTTTTTCGACATCCGCAGATGCCAAACCGACCTGGGCACATCGTGATTTGAACACTGGCCCCGACTCGGAGAAGGCCGCCACGGTGTGCTGCTTGGACCACTACGAGCTGAAAGCAGCTGCAGGAGGGCTTTGCTCTTCATAAAATCACGCATCTTGCAGGACACGACATCCGCCAGATCTCTGCTCTTGCACGATACCACAAATGACAACACTTGACCAGCTTGCGGAGCGCACGTGCACGACATCACCATTTTGCACAAAATTGCAGGCACGAGCCGGGTGCAGAGTCATGTGCCCTGCTGCACAATCAAGTATCTCCTGAAGCACTGCTTGCACCTTGGATGCAAAACTGCGGGTCGCGCCTCCAGCTTCCTGTACTGACCCGAAATGGTCCTACCGCAGCCCAGGTTGGCACCCGCTTCGTCGGCAGTGATGTGCACTACCCTGGATTGGCGATGCCGAAAGAAAACACACGAGGGATCAATCTTGTCAAGGTCGACCTTCCCATGCCAGTCCAAAGCCTCGGCAACACAAGCTTCGTCCCCTGAGTGGTCGATCTCCTCCTCGTCCTCGGAGCCCTCAGAGTCTGACGACTCGATCTCGTCGCCAGGCGGATCGGCATGCGCCGACAGCTCGGAAGCAAGCTGCTGCCCCCTTGGTTTGTCGGGCTTGAAGGCCCCGGACGACACCTCGTCGATCATAGATGACAAAGCCCTGAGCGGAGCCGACTGGGCGTCGGACTCATAGATCAGCTCTGATCCCGCACCCGAGGCTCGGGACGTATGATACCCCAAGAGGGCCCTCTGTTCTCTGGGCAGACCACGCTTGCTTGCCCAGCTCAGCAAAGTTCTCTTAAGGCTATGTGTCCCTACATTTGCAAGGTAGGGATCGCTCTGAGCGTTCCCCAGCAGGCTCCTGAGCCACGAGCAAGCCTGATCGCACGGAAGCGGGATCATCTTCCACGAACCATTCGAAGAAGGGCAGGGGAGCAACGGGTCGTTCGGCTTGATCGCAAGACCCGCCTCTGCCAAAGCCTCAAGCCACGCATCGGCCCATGCACACTTGATGCCCACTTTCCTGGCAGCCATTGGCAAGTACCTGGTCTTGCGTTCCAAAGTGAAACTCGTCTTGGACCTGCCCACACTGCACTCCAAGTAGAGCGGCGAATCAGTCAGCGATGCTACATTTTGCCCGTCACTGTATCTAGCTCTTGCATAAATCAGGAAAAGAAAGAAACCCGAAGCGACCCGGTCCTGCAGCGACCTGTCCTCAAGTTTGCAACAAATCCTTTCAAGAAGAATGACATCAGAGACCCTCAGAGGATTGCGCTGCTTGAGCTTCCTCTTTTGCATGTACAGCTTCGATGCAAGGCCGCGGATGCGACCCGAGGCGTAAACCTTATCACACCCTTCCAAGCCTACAACATGCTGTGCGAACGCCACAGATGAAAGAAGGCTCCTGAACGAGGTCGCCGCTGCAGTTGCCTTCTTCTCCTCGAAGTATGCATAGACAGCGTGCTCTGTCAAGGGGAAAACGAACGGCATGTTTCCTTTCGCCCAAGAAACAAAACGCAACAAGCAGTTTGCCCTGGCGTTAATCGTCGAAGTGGCCTTGGCAGCAAGGCAATCTGAAATGCTATCCGCAAGCGACCCCGAAGAGATCCCCGACGCCTTACCGGCATAGAAGTTCCTAGCTACGCAGAAGGTCAAGGGCTCGACCATGACCAGGCTGAGCCACTTGTTCACAGCCAGATTTCTCTCCTCATTGATCATAACCTCCCAAGAAGTATGTTTGAACTTGGCCATTTTTGCACACACTTGTTCAAGCCCTTCCGACCTGACGAAGCGAGGGTTCGGCACGGCAGGTTGATCGGCAGAAGGGTTCACTGGGACTACAAGGGGGAGAGGTCCAAGAGGAGGCGGCAACCGGGGCCTAGGGTCGTGGGCTAACAGCGTATTACCCCAGGGAGTCTTCCACACTGACTTGGAGTCTCGCAGGCAGGATCTGAGGTGAAGGCCAAAACTGGAAGAAAGGGAGCCTCCTTCGTCCCCCATTTCACTACGGCTCCCTCAAGCAGACTGCAAAGGCGGCTCGAGAAACGACCTGAAGGCAGAGCGCAGGCTCTGAATGATACCCTCAAGCCACGACAGGCGCTGATGATGGCCCGTCTGGTTCACCCAGACGCGAGAGAGGCTATCTTCTAGTGCTTGCACCTGGGACCTGAGAGCTTGCACCTGAAGCCTGAGCTCGTTAACCTCTAGCTGGAGTTCGTAGATATGCTGACTCAAAATCTCCTGCGTGCTCTCAGAGCTTGGCTCGGAACGATGGGACGAACCTGCGGCAAGCGCGTCGCCGAAGTCCATCTGACACCCCGCACCAGGGCGGGGAGTCGTGACGCCCTAAAGTCCCTAAAGCCTTGAGATAAAGGGCCTGGAACCTGCTAGGACGCCGTTGCAAGCCCCTAGCGGAGTCCCATCAAAAATTCTCTGGCTCGATGACGAGACAGCTTCAGCGGCCACAATTCCGAACATGAACAAAAGGATGTTTGCCGACAAAGTCAAAAATTCGTCGGTTGCTCAGAGAGTGGGTTCGCAAATCACAATATAAAATTGTGAAAACTTGAACTGCAAAGCACTACTACGAGTAGCGCAGAGGATCACAATTGAAAGTTGTGAAAGCTGAAATGAAAAGCACTACTAAGAGTAGCGCGCGGGATTGTCATGGCCCAAAATTTTGTTGCTAACAAAATTTCGTTTGACCTAGGATCTATAAAACATCGACACGCACGCGTGAAGAGATGCAGAGCCAGGTGAGCCCATGTCGTGCATGAGGGGTTTTGGAGTTAAGCACCGTGCACAAATTCCGAACCGTCAGCCACACCTCTCGATACCATAACTCTACACAGCTCAAGAAGTCCTGTTCAGATCTGGTGGAGATACCTTCCAGAAAATTCCGCCGCTCTTGTATGATCTGTTCCGGCCCCCCTTCTCGATACCATAACTCTGCATGGCTTGATCTGCTCTGTTCAGAAATGCTAGAGTCACCTCTGGCAAAAATTCTCTGTCTTTGTACGATCTCAAAGCTGCACAGTTATGGGGCTGCCGGGCGACCCCATTTTAAGGCCCGCAAAACACAAGCAATTCTGGCTTCGCGAGGTCGGCCCTCCACAGTTGCATTCCGCTGGCTGCAGCACGACGCTCCCCCAAAGTCAATACAATCAATGACATGCGCAGCTGACGAGATTCAGCCGCTGTGGGTGCAGGAATCAAACTTGCGACCCCAAAAATGGGGCCGTCTCGCGGCCCCAGAAAAGGAGCCGCGAAATCCAGGCAACCTCCTTCAACATATTTTGACTGGCAACCAGAGGACCCCAAAATCGGGGCCGCTTGGCGGCCCCTATTTTGGGGTCGCGAATTCCTCATTTTGGGGCCCAAGCCCAAGCCCGTGCGTTCCACACTGCTACATCAAGGCGACTCGCCCACAGGCAGGCATCCAGTGTGGAAAAATCGTTCTCCAACAAGAATTTCCAACATACAGCTTGCCCGTGGAAGTGACAGCCACTCAAGCGAAGCCAAAATTGCTAAGCTTGTTCGACCCCACATTTGGAGCCGCGTGTGCTGCAGTTGGTTCGCACCGAAAGTGGACGTCGGCGGCACTGGTGGCCGAACACGTTCCAGACACAGCAGCCAGAACACTTCCACCTTTGAGCTGCAGGCGGACTCATGGGACAAACAGGATCTGGTCCAAACAGGTCAAAGTCGATGCTTTCTCAGGCACAGGTACCTTCTGGGAGAACTCTCAACTCCAACCTTGCACTAACAAGAAAAACAGAGTGCGCAGCACTCGATCTTTTTCTTGAGCTAAAAACATTCGAAGCAAAACGAAACGAGACAAAACGAGTGCGGTCACTAACCTGATTCAAAAGCAGTTCTTCCATTTGAGGCAGACCGAAAAACCTGTGTTGCGGGGGCGGCAGCGGCACGGGTCTGTGTTGCGCAGAGATGTGGATTTGCTGAGCAACAAAGTCGCTTGGAGCGCCTGCTGCAAGCGATCTTTTTTTTGTCGGTTTGTGACAGCGGATGCAACCACCCTGCGCAAAGACACACGCAACCATGAAGCAAAAAAGACCCGATTTGACGATGGAACTGACTCAGAGAGCAAAAAGAAATTGAAGCAGAGGTGCAGAGAACAGCGAAAAGTGCAGTTCGGCTTTTGAGGGAACGCAACTACTGGTCTAGCAACAGCAAATGCAATCAGAAGCAAGGCAGAGGCAAAGAATGGTGCAAATGGGTCTCTGCGAAAAGAGCAAAACAAATCTGGCGAGAGCCAGGTAAGCCCATGTCGTGCATGAGGGGTTTTGGAGTTAAGCACCGTGCACAAATTCCGAACCGTCAGCCGCACCTCTCGATACCATAACTCTACACAGCTCAAGAAGTCCTGTTCAGATCTGGTGGAGTTCCAGAATTCCGCCGCTCTTGTATGATCTGTTCCGGCCGACCTTCTCGATACCATAACTCTGCATGGCTTGATCTGCTCTGTTCAGAAATGCAGAGTCACCTCTGCAACAATTTCCCTGTCTTTGTACGATCTGCACAGTTATGAGGCTGTCGGGCGACCCCATTTTAAGGCCCGCAAAACACAAGCAATTCTGGCTTCGCGAGGTCGGCCCTCCACAGTTGCATTCCGCTGGCTGCAGCACGACGCTCCCCAAAGTCAATACAATCAATGACATGCGCAGCTGACGAGATTCAGCCGCTGTGGGTGCAGGAATCAAACTTGCGACCCCAAAAATGGGGCCGTCTCGCGGCCCCAGAAAAGGAGCCGCGAAATCCAGTCAACCTCCTTCAACATATTTTGACTGGCAACCAGAGGACCCCTTATTTTCCCTTTGTGCAAAACACCGGGCGTGAGAAATTAAACGAATTGATATGTGAAACACAGACTCCAATATCTTTCGGAATATAAAAAGAATCGTCAATCAAATATACATTCATATGCAGTCGAAGACGCGCCACTCTCTTTTTTTTCACAGACTGGGGAGACGAGTGCCCACGTTGGCCGGGCTTAGGGCCCAGGGCAACGGTTCGGTAAATTAAAGGAAGCTACGGCACGTTCCAGCGAGAGCACTTTCTCTGTGAGACCACGTTGGAGCACCTCTCCGAACGATGGGACTTGGGCGGGCGGGGACGAAAAATTCTACAAAACTTTGGGGGTCCCACCCACCTCTCCCTTGAGCAGAAATGTTTCGTGAGAAACACTCTTAACATAGCTCACATGAGACAGTCACACACATGCCCTAATTTATTTCGAAAGCGAAATAAATTTGTTTTGCAGGGAAAATAAAAACTCATCCGTGCACGCGCGGAGATAGTTCTTATTTTCCCTTTGTGCAAAACACCGGGCGTGAGAAATTAAACGAATTGATATGTGAAACACAGACTCCAATATCTTTCGGAATATAAAAAGAATCGTCAATCAAATATACATTCATATGCAGTCGAAGACGCGCCACTCTCTTTTTTCACAGACTGGGGAGACGAGTGCCCACGTTGGCCGCCCCTGAAAAACGTGGCTATGTACTGAGGGCGCACTTAAGGGTCTCCGTCAGAACGTCTGCCGAACATTCGGCACGGAGATCCTGGCCCATTGAGTACACACCTCGAGAAGGCGCATCAGCTGGGTTGCTGTGCGACGGCACACGGTCGTAGTAAAAGAAGGCCTGTAAGTCAAACTCACGCTTGGCTGCCAGGAAAGCCATCGCACTGCCTACTGGGTTTTCTGACCAGCACTTCACGAACGCGCCGTGCACACCTGAGTTGTCCGTGTACACTACAACGTTCCTCTGAGACAGATGACATTTAAAAAGCTCAAGAGCCACTACCACTGCAAGAGCTTCTAGCTCAAAGATCACTGTCTCTCTGTCGCGCCCGAAGCAACTCAGCAGAACCTTAATCAAGTCACTAGGGACGGTCGCCCCAAACCAACTTAAGATTCTCCCGTCGGCATCGTAGCAGACGCCTCCAAGCCCACTGTGCCCTGACGGCTCGAAGGAAGCGTCTACAAAAACAAGGCGGTTATCACCTAAGTCCCTAGAAACGACTCTGGAGCAACCACTCTGCAAAAGCTCTACAAGGTGAGTGGCACCCCACCTGAAGCGCTCGGACACACAGAAGCTCTTCGAAGCCTTGTCCGACAAACAGTGAAGCGCCTGCCGCGCCAGTCTGCCGAACAACTGGCCACTTGCGAACTGGGCTCGCCCTCGAATCTTTTCAAGCGTCGTCGCGTCAATGCTGCCCCGAGCGAGAACCTCTTCAAGAGAAGCAATGATTTCGTTTCGGCGTTTCAGGGTATTCTTCAACAAGGCGTAACCCCGAATGGCGTTTCCCACATCAAGCTCAATCCCTAACACCTTACAGCAAGTGGAATAGGGGAGAAGCTTATCGGTGGAAACCTTCCACCCAAGGAGCCTAAAATACACACTGATTACCAGCTCGACGTGCTTTGCTTCGCTGCTGCGGGCGATGCTAAGGTAGTCGTCGAAATAGACGGACCAAACTAGGAACAGCAACTTGACTGCTACCGTCCAGACGGCCACTGCGCATCTGATGAACGCCGTAACTGCGCCGTAACTGAAGCTCGCGATCCGAAAGGGAGAGCCCGCTGCTTGAACACAGCGGGCTTCTGGCTCCTTGGGTCGTAGATCACGAAGTAGGCATCTCGAGCAAATGCGGTGTCACTGAGAGGCAGTTGTTTATACGCAGCCTTAAGGTCCCACGTTTTGGCATTCATCGCAGACCGGACACGATGGGCCTTGGCGCGGGCTAGCCAAGACGAAATCATGCCCGCCACCACGTCAAGAGTGTGGACCGTGACTTGCTCCGATTGCGTCACTGCAGCATTAACTCTAGAGGCCCTATAATTATCGATTGGCCGCACCTTGGGCGCGCCATCAACCTCTCCCTGAACCACACCAAAACGGCGGGTCAGCGTGGCTCCCTCCGGAAGCGTGCTGGGGTCTATGGGTCCCTCGACTACACCGGCGTCTACTTCCTTAAGGGTCGCTTGCAGCACACCTTCGTCGATGACAGGATCATCCGCTGGCCCAACAGTCGCCAGAGTGGCTTCCCTTGCACGATCAGCACCTTGTCGCAAGTCTGCTTCGAGCATGCTGGCTGGTCTGAATTTCTTCTTGAAGAATCCACTTTCAGGCAACTTACCAACTAGGTCGAACCCTTGCACTAAGTCGTTGAAGAGGCCTTGGTCAGCGTGCTCGGCATCCTCAAGAAGGGTCCTGAACAGGATCAGGCGTTTTTGTGCAAGGATGTGACGCCGGTTATCGGACATTCCCTTTCGCAGCGCATCCTCTTCACCAACGAGGGAGTTCGCCCGTGCAATTCACTTTCTGATCAGCTCGGTCCGATGCTGCCCCAATGCGTGCTCGCCCAACTCAAAGTTTTTACGAACAGCGGTTTCAAGGTCTGCTGGGAGCAGGTTCGAAAGGCTGCTGGGGTGTTCAACATTGCACGCCTGCTCGACGAACTCCTCGGGCGACCACCTGACACCAAACTCAGCTGTAAACTTCACGGGCTGTGAGGCTGCATTGGCAGTGGCACAAGCAGATGTGACGAAGCCGAGCTCGTCCATGATCGCCCGGTCACATTGCTCGAGCTCGTCCAAACCTCCCGGGAGGAATGCAACTAGTACAGCACGATCTCCTTCCCAGCGCTCAGTCGCATGAGGCACACGTGGGTTGAAGCAAATTCCCCCGCCGTCAAAGGAAAGCACCGTGCCCATCACTCGTGTGCCGTCTATGGTCCTCGGCGAGCTGCCTGCTTTGTCAGCAAGCCACAGGCCACCTCGTTTGAACGACGTAATAGGCAGCACAAGGTTGTTAGAGTTAGGGTCGTTATGAGCATCCACATGTGGCTCAGCCAGAAGGTTCACCGTGAATGCTATCGCTCCAAACCTGTGCCACGGAGCCTGCTCGCGTACATACCGGCATGCCAAGGCGGTGGTCCAAGGGCAGCGCAGAGTTGAGTTTCGGACACCGACCATTGGACCATGGCTGTAGCCTCCGGAGAACCACTGGTGAGAGTCCTCCGTTTGGATACCTCGGGCCCTGGCTGGAAGGACTTCGGGTGTCTGTGACAGGACTTCGAACATGTCATCGGCCGTGAGCTCACCAGGCTGGCGGCGCGACATAATTTCGTAAGCTAGATGTTCACATTTCTGCGCATCGGCAGGCGGTGGTTGCGCCAACACTCCCGCACTCGCTAAACCTACCTGAGGCTTAGGACAAAAGGGAGCAGGCGGCAAAGGAACCCAAGCGGGACTAACCTCAGGATGACTATGTACCCCTTCGGCATCTGGCTGCACCCCTTGTGTGGAGATGCTAAGGACCTTGCTTCCAGCAGGAATGGAGAGCAGGTCCACCGACAGAGTGGACCCGGCAGGGGGAGTCCAATCCTCCGTTAGGACTTTCCGGCGCTCAAGGCCACTGACACAAGCGGGATCGCAACACCCTGAAACCATGACCCGGTTTTTGAACTCTGAGACCAATGGCAAGACGCGTTTGCTGGCCTGAACTCCGGAATACACGCGGGCTCCGGTCACTAGGTTATCAAGCTCGTGCAAGGACTGCGGCGCGTCGGCACAACCCAGATCAAGCAATTGTTTTCGCAGCAAAGTGGACATCTCTCGTGCGAGAGCCCAAGGATAACTAAGCTCGGCAGAGGACTTAGCGAAATCCCAAGAAGCGTGCGAATGCTTGCCGTCGCAAGTGCGTTGAAGGCAAAGGAAGGCAGGCAGTGTGTGCACCAACAGGGTCGCCTTCTTTCGGGAGTGGCCAAACATGCACTGGTGCAAGGTTGTGGCGAAAATTGGTACGTCTGTGAAGAAATCTCGCCACCACTTGGTGGCCCACAAAAATGACTGAAGAGGCCCTTCAACTGAAAATAAAATCCCTCGCATGTACATTATCTTGCAGGCACGAGCACAAAATTCGAACAAGCGGTTGGCCTGGTTGACCCGAACTTTGTCTGCACCTCTCAAGGAAGGAAGCCCATGCGGATGCAAGTCATCACGAAGCCCGGCACCGCGAGTGGCAGTACCAGCCGGCGGTGACATGTGCACATAGACCAGGTTAGGCTCATTAAGAAGCGAAAGGAAGTGTTTTTGGCCCTCAGCAGTGCTAAGGTCCAGTGATACAATAGGACACACAGCTCCCTCGACCCGCGCATCCACAGCAAAAGAATCTTTCATTCCACATGCACGAAGAGCCGCAGTGAACCTCCCGGCCCCTGAGCAAACCTGAATGCAAAATGCTTCAGCGATGCTGAGTTTGGCCACACGTTCAGTGGCGCGTCCAAGGAAGGACACTCGCTCCTTCCCAGTCCGAAGCTCAGGGGCCCCAGGCCCTCAAGCGCCGCTTTTCTTGTGATGCTCCTGAAGAGAGTGAGGCTGCAAGCATCCCGGCTCTGCGCATAAGTGCAGCCCGCGCGAGCATGCGCTCCCCGGGGCGGCGTCTCCACAGCCGCACTGCATATTAAATGCCCAGCACAAGCGTTCACCATCTTTGTTCTGGCTCCACTTTCCAATCAACTCCTTCGGCACACGCAGCCTAGCACCACCTTTCTTACCTTTCCCTGTGCCTTTGCCCTTCTTACCTGGCTTATTCCCTTTGTCATCGGCCTGCTGATCCTCGACCTTCCTTTTGAGCGGAGGCGGCGGGTGCTTAGGTTTTTCGGGAATGGCAAGCGGCAGAAGATGAAAGCTGACATGTGTGTCATCGAGAATGTTCTCGAAGGCACGGTCCAATGGACGGACCCCATCCGCGCCTGTCTTCAGGCTACGCACCTTCTCAGCGATCCTCGTGAAAGCCGCTCTGTCAGCGCGGAGTGCCTGAACCACACAAACCTTTGCGTAGTTAGGCGGCGGCGCGTCCTGGACTCGCTGGATGAGCAGGCTATGATACATGTTCATAGCATCGTAAGAGCAGCAGCCTACGAGGTCGAATGCGAGCGCCCTTCGGCGGAGCGCTTGAACCAGCTCCAGCTCTCCGTGGGTATCACATGTGGCCTGCTGCGGCTTGTCTCGCACTGTCAAGGAGCCACTCCCATCCAACGAAACCTCCTTCACCGCCTTCTTAAGCTGAAGTTCATGCTGACGCGTGGTGAATTTGTTTGGATGCTGGTACACAAGCGTGTCTTGTTGCAACATGCCGTACACCAAATTGTACGCCTCGAATGCGACCTCTTCCACTCCACGGTGCGTTAACCCTGTGAGCCGGGCCCGCTGCCTTGTGATGCGAGCTTCGCGCTCAGCAGGATTCAGTCGCTGGGATGTTGGATCATCCCCTTTTTCAACTTTCTGCTTAAGATCTGCAACAACCATCGTGTGAGCCTCAAAGATCAGTCGCTTTGTGGCAGCGACGACACCAGCGTTGATTACTCGAGTACCAAAAAGCTCGCGGACCTGATCATTGGAAGGCGTAGCCCCTGGCGGCACTGCCGCAAAAGCTAGACGGGCTAGACTGTGGATGCCGGATCCAGTGAGGGCCGCGATGTCGTCGGCAGACAATCCGACCTCGGCCGCACGATCCTCGAAGGCCGCTCGGCTCTCGGTAAGAGAGGTCATGGCACTGGCACGGCTCAAAACAGCTAAACTCGGTAGTGGCACAGCGCTATTGAAAAGATGATATTCCGAAACACAGGCTCGTACGAAGGCACGCAGTTTAGGAAGCAGTGTTTCCCAACTGAACGCATATTCATCATTCCATCCTGTATTCCAGTCAAGACCTAGAAGCCATAGCAATCTTGCATGTGATGTATAAACCCTTCGGCACCGGCACATCTCGGCGCAGCCGCAGTGCACGTTCACTCGGCCCTCTTGAGCACAGGAACATGTAGGCGCGCTCAAGTTGGTTGTAAGTCTTGCGGCCGGCACGTCTCGGCCACGTAGTCCCATCGGTCACTTACTCGATGGAGGCTGTGAACATGCAACAGCGACTCTCCACAAACAGACATTCACTTTGCAGACCACAAGTCGTCTGCCCTGTATTTTCTCAGGCGATGCCTTTCAGTGCACCTTCACAAACTCTCTGCAGCCGACTTTCGCTGCATCATAGCGTTAACGGCCTCGGCCAATGCTCCTGGATCGCGGAGCGGCTTTGCCCCTTCACAGGTCTTGCACTTCCGAAACGACAAAAATTTAGTTTGGGCGACCTCCTTGAAATCGGACGTCACCTTCCGCCCACACGCAAAAACTCCGGTCGAACTGCCTTGTGCGCAAAGATGAACGACCTGTGTCCTAACATGTTTGTACATGACATATCCAGGTTCCCAACTTGGCTTGGGACGGGCGACTGCACACGCCATCTCGTCGTTGTCCAAGTCGGGGTGGTCCCTGCCTGCAACGACTTCGTCCTGCGAGCTACTGCTGTCCGAGGAGGACAGCTCATGGTCAGTGGGTGCGGCAACCTGATCTTCATCACTCTTCTCTCCGGCGGATGCTACACCAATGGCCTCAAAAGAACCTTCTGAAGCGAAGCTGGTCAACCCGGGATCAGGCACTTCATCATCAGAGACCTCCACCTTCGGAACCTGTGCAGTGCCTCGCACGCGACCCGAGCGCGTAAGGTCCGGGAAGAATGTTCCGTTTCTGATTGCAGCCAACATTTCATCATAGCGCCTGAGGGCAGGCGCCAAGTAATCTCGGCCATAGGTGTGCAATGTTCCTTCGCCAGTGGCATGGTGTCCAAGTTGTAACCGGGAATACTTATCGAAACCAAACTTACAGGCCCAGGTCAGTGTAGTGCTTTTCAAGCTGTGACCTGTGATCCCTTGGGATGGCTGCCCTCCCTTATCAAGAATCTTGCAGAGCCAAGCCCCAGCTTCGGAGGTGGTCACCGACCTGGACAACCATCCTCCGGTAACGTCCGGAGCGGGCAGCAAAGGCCCCTCAGGCCGACCTACGAATCCCAAACCTACTGCAGAAGCAACCTTGCTGAATGTAACAGCCCAGCTCACCTTACCTAGGCCGACAGCCGGTGCAACAAGGGGCATGGCAAGACCAATGGCCGCGACGTCCTTCTCAGTCTTGTGACTGCGAGTGCTGCACTCAAGGAAACCTTGCCCGTGGCTTTGCAAACAATCAAAATCCAAAATCCAATCCTTGACCTTTCTGAGATCACTAATGCGACTACGGCTGAACAAACCGAAGAGCATGCATCCTGCAGCGTAACGGTCGACTAAATCTTCATCCTCGTCGCTCAAGAAAGCCTCAAGGTAAAGAACGCTGTCAGTGGTTAGGACAGCGCTCTGCCTCCTCTCTGCTTTCTTCTGTATCTCCAGCGCAACAGCCCCACGAGCCCAAGGACTGAACAACTGCTTTCCTGAGAAAGGGTTCCTCAGAGATCCGTCACAATCGAAAGGCAAGCCAACGACATGCACTGAGAAATTGACAGCTTCAGTAAAGCTTGTGAAAGATCCAGGTCGGACCTTAGCTTCCTGTAGTTGCTCGATGTAATCATCGACACGCTTTGAAGTGATAGGCAGGGCACACTCGCCTGGGCAAGCTTTGTGTACCCACACAACGAACTTCTGCATTGCACTCCCACGCTTTGCGACGGTACTGGATGCTTTCTTCCCGAAGAGTTCACGAAGGCACTTCATGGCATCAGCTCCGTTTTTGCGGCTAATCCGTGATCCTATCGCAGAACAGCTGGAGTCCTCCATGATCACGAATAGCCACATTTCTAAAGCTCTGGTCCATTTGACTTCTTCAAGCGCAGCGTCAGTTTCCACAAGGTTGAAATTGACAACATCCCGAAAGCAGGCTCCCAGGGTGACGCTTGCTCTGGCCTTCTTTGCACGATGCGCACAGTCGCGCGAAGAGGATGCCTCTTCAACAGATTCCCTGACAGGAAAAGGCACCGCCTGCGGTAAAATGGCATCACTGGCTTTTGGAAGCACACTTGCACGAGAACCAAAAACCAGCTCAAGTCCCGGAAGTTCCCAAGGAAGCTTTGTGTCAATCACGCAACGCCCTAAACCTAACCCTGCGTCTTGTATGGCAACTGACATCCGCAAGGAAGCCTCATGAGAAAGCTTCTCCACACTGGCCTCCTGGACATCATCTTCCAGAAGATCAATGTCTTCCGGGAGGGCCATGCTAGTGGCCTCAGTTTCCTCCTGACAAGACTTGTCACACAGCTCCATCAGTCTAGTGCTCGAGAACGACGTCAGTCGTCTCACTCCGATACAAGCCTTCACAAGAAGCTATGCGATTCTGCAGAAGGCAGCTGCTAATGGACAGTAGCCGGCACAGACCTCAAGTCTATCCGCTCTGTAAAGCACGTCACTTAGAGCTTCAAGCACACGCTCTTCAAGGTCATGTAGCAGCGCACGGACTGCTCACTCGCTCAGTGGCTGAGCCCCGGCACCATCCATACACTACCCCCAGACGAAAAATTCTACAAAACTTTGGGGGTCCCACCCACCTCTCCCTTGAGCAGAAATGTTTCGTGAGAAACACTCTTAACATAGCTCACATGAGACGGTCACACACATGCCCTAATTTATTTCGAAAGCGAAATAAATTTGTTTTGCAGGGAAAATAAAAACTCATCCGTGCACGCGCGGAGATAGTTCAAAATCGGGGCCGCTTGGCGGCCCCTATTTTGGGGTCGCGAATTCCTCATTTTGGTGCCCAAGCCCAAGCCCGTGCGTTCCACACTGCTACATCAAGGCGACTCGCCCACAGGCAGGCATCCAGTGGGGAAAAATCGTTCTCCAACAAGAATTTCCAACAGACAGCTTGCCCGTGGAAGTGACAGACATGAGAGAACAGAGGGGGGCCACTCAAGCGAAGCCAAAATTGCTAAGCTTGTTCGACCCCACATTTGGAGCCGCGTGTGCTGCAGTTGGTTCGCACCGAAAGTGGACGTCGGCGGCACTGGTGGCCGAACACGTGCCAGACACAGCAGCTAGAACACTTCCACCTTTAAGTTGCAGGCGGACTCATGGTACCAAACAGGATCTGGTCGATGCTTTCTCAGGCACAGGTACCTTCTGGGAGAACTCTCAACTCGAACCTTTCACAGGCGAGGCCGTGGCGTTTTACAGCTTTCAGAAGTCCACTAACAAGAAAAACAGAGTGCGCAGCACTCGATCTTTGTCTTGAGCTACTCTGGACAGAGTAAAAACATTCGAAGCAAAACGAAACGAGACAAAACGAGTGCGGTCACTAACCTGATTCAAAAGCAGAGACAAATCGAAAAACCTGTGTTGCGGGAGCAGCAGCGGCACGGGTCTGTGTTGCGCAGACATGTAGATTTGCTGAGCAACAAAGTCGGTTGGAGCGCCGGCTGCGAGCGATCTTTTTTTTGTCGGTTTGTGACAGCGGATGCAACCATCCTGAGCAAAGACACACGCAAAAAAAAAAAAAAAAGACCCGATTTGACGATGGAACTGACTCAGAGAGCAAAAAGAAATTGAAGCAGAGGTGCAATCTCCGAGAACAGCGAAAAGTGCAGTTCGGTCTTTTGAGGGAACGCAACCACTGGTCTAGCAACAGCAAATGCAATCAGAAGCAAGGCAGAGGCAAAGATGTTGCAAATGGGTCTCTGCTAAAAGAGCAAAAAAAATCTGGCGAGAGCCAGGTGAGCCCATGTCGTGCATGAGGGGTTTTGGAGTTAAGCACCGTGCACAAATTCCGAACCGTCAGCCACACCTCTCGATACCATAACTCTACACAGCTCAAGAAGTCCTGTTCAGATTTGGTGGAGATACCTTCCAGAAAATTCCGCCGCTCTTGTATGATCTGTTCCGGCCCACCTTCTCGATACCATAACTCTGCATGGCTTGATCTGCTCTGTTCAGAAATGCTAGAGTCACCTCTGGCAAAAATTCTCTGTCTTTGTACGATCTCAAATCTGCACAGTTATGGGGCTGTCGGGCGACCCCATTTTAAGGCCCGCAAAACACAAGCAATTCTGGCTTCGCGAGGTCGGCCCTCCACAGTTGCATTCCGCTGGCTGCAGCACGACGCTCCCCAAAGTCAATACAATCAATGACATGCGCAGCGGACGAGATTCAGCCGCTGTGGGTGCAGGAATCAAACTTGCGACCCCAAAACTGGGGCCGTCTCGCGGCCCCAGAAAAGGAGCCGCGAAATGCAGCCAACCTCCTTTAACATATTTTGACTGGCAACTAGAGGACCCCAAAATCGGGGCCGCTTGGCGGCCCCTATTTTGGGGTCGCGAATTCCTCATTTTGGGGCCCAAGCCCAAGACCGTGCGTTCCACACTGCTACATCAAGGCGACTCGCCCACAGGCAGGCATCCAGTGTGGAAAAATCGTTCTCCAACAAGAATTTCCAACCAGACAGCTTGCCTGTGGAAGTGATGGACATGAGAGAACAGAGGGGGGCCACTCAAGCGAAGCCAAAATTGCTAAGCTTGTTCGACCCCACATTTGGAGCCGCGTGTGCTGCAGTTGGTTCGCCGAAAGTGGACGTCGGCGGCACTGGTGGCCGAACACGTGCCAGACACAGCAGCTAGAACACTTCCACCTTTAAGTTGCAGGCGGACTCATGGGACCAAACAGGATCTGGTCGATGCTTTCTCAGGCACAGGT